GTCACTACATGTATATTTGCAATAAACCGAGCTTCGACAAAGCATGTTCCAAGTATACATTTCTACATATGCAGCATAGTCATATTCGACTCTCGTTAAAAAATATGCACATGTAGCATGCGCTGGCTTGTACACTGCAACCAAAAACGCAGGCCCGTATTTTGACGCGTTCTGTTTGTTTAAGGCTCGGGTGTCAATGGTTTGGGTTCCGGGAAGCATTGCAGGAAGCATACGGAGGGCTTGTCAAGCTCTCCGAGCACGGATTATGAGTAAGGCTAATAAGGACTATGAGGGGATACTATTTCCTGCTCCATAATCATCCTGCTGACCCCGACAGTCTTGAAAAGCTGAGGCTCTGCCCGACTCTACCAGCCCAACTGGCAATCCAACTGAACCTAGAACACTGAACCCTAAGACTCAAGCCCCAAACCCGAAACCCTGAACCCGACCCGCTGGAAGCCCCCACCTTGAGCCAGGAGCCACAGAACCCCAAAAAGAGACCCACGAGAGGGGATGTAGTGGTCTCGCTTCAAGGCTTAGTTTCCGGGCCCTCCAGGGTTCTAGGCTTCTAGGGTCTACGATTTAGGAGTTTCGGGTTGAGGCTTTAGGTGTTATCGGATTGTAGGCACTACGAGGCCTCCTTGCCAGGTCCTTCAAGGCGAGGCCGAGGTTCTCCTTGATGGACTCCTGCATTCGCCTTGGGCTGCGGGGAGTTTGGGGGGTCTCAGCAGTTTGGGGATGTGTTGGGGCTTTGGGGCTTTCGGGTGCAGAGGGTTGGGGGCTTGGGGTTTACGTAGAGTGAAGGACTTTGAGTTGAGGGGGGGTAGGGTGTGGGATGTTTTGAAGTCAGGATGCGAGATTTCGGGCTCAGGGGAGTAAGGCGTAGGGGTTCAGAGTCTACGGAGTTTAGGGCTTGGGGTTTACAGGGCTCAAGGGCTCTTAGCCGTAGTCGTCGTGCTTTGGAGCTTCAGTGGAGAGAGTTGTGTGGAAGCTTTCAGGAGTGTAGGGTTTAGGATTTAGGGTTTGGTGTTCCAACCCTTAAGCCTTAAGCCCCACATTCCCTGTCCTCCTGCCTTACGCCCCAGATTTCCCATTCCCTACACCCAACCTCCTCAAAGCCTTAACCAAGAAGCTTCCCTTGCCTTAAGAACCCTAGGAACCGACAGGACAAACCCTAAATCCGAAAAAAATGCCTGAAAGGCCAAGAACAATAAGAGGAAGATGGTCCCAAGTCCCGACCCTACACCCGAAACAACATTCCCACGTCCACCACACCAACAACCTGACAGCCCAAACCCCAGAAATCTAAAATCCCAAATGGCCTCTAAACAACAAACGAACACACCGCATAGCACCGAGGCCGGCACTTGGAGTCCTGCATCCAGAGATGATGCAGGATCCGCCCACAGTTCCAGACCTGAAAAAGCATCTTAGGGTTTTGGGTTTTGGGGTTTGGGGTTTAGGGGCTGGATCTAGGACTTGAAAGTTTCACAGCTCATCCCACCATATGTAGAGTGAGATCCTTCCAGGAAGGTGCTGAAACCCAGCAAGGCTCGGGGGAGGTGAAAGCATTCGTGCGTGCGTCCGCCATGGAAGGGCTTCAAGCTCAGAGCGCTGGGGTTCCTTAACCATGACATCTTCGACCGTCAGATTTCATGATGACGAGCTGGAAGGAGAGCTGTGTCTTGTGACTTGGGAATTGGGGTTGGATTTTTGTAATCATGGCAAGGTGGAGTCTGCGGAAGGGGCTTCTACTAGACTGCACATCCCCAGCCCTCCCCACCTTCAGTTTCTCTTCCAAACGACGCGGACCCGAGGGCCCGGCAATCCAGAAGAAGACCGGGAAGGAAAAGCTAATGACGAAGCCGGACCAGGAAGAGTTGAAGTTCGTCATCACCTCGACGCGAGCGGCTTCAGGCTTCAGGCGATCCCATCCCGTCGAGCGAGAATGCTAGTAGAAGTGACAGCGGTCATTGTCATCTTCTTGGCAAGCATCATCGACATCGCTATCATTTTCGGCATGACCATGTTCGTCCATCTTTGCCATCAGCAGCATCACGCGCATCACGCTCGCGTTCATGACCATGAACCACAACCAACACCACCAAAAGTCTTTTCATCCTCGTCCCGACTAAAGCCCTGCTGTAGACTCCAGCTCTGAGACTCCTGGCTCCACCGAAGGTGAGGCCGCAAACGATGATGAAGCTAAAAAGTTGGTTGCAAGGATCACCTCAGTGGCAGTGGTCGTCAGAGCTTCTGGGTGCAAGGAAAACTGCTCTCGAGCCGCTGCTGTCGGAAGCAGGCCTACTGCTCGGGGCTTCGGGAGATGTTCATGACGACCAATATGCCGGAATCCAAGTCTTAAACTTGACAAAGCGAAAAGCCTCGAGTAATTAAATCCGGACAGCTGCAGCGTACTTCATCTGGGCACTCCGGCCCACGAGAACCAGGAGTACTGCCCGCAGGACCAAACCTGCCATGATGTTGCAGGGACCCCAAGTCTCGTTGGATGGCAGCAGTCGTGGTGGGGGTCACGGTGTTGAATGTCGAACTCAGGATGAGAGGGGCCTTGACCTTCAAGCTTAAGGCCAGGCCAGTGGAAAGGCACTTTCAAGCAAAAAAGGACCCCAAGTGGAGTAAACCGGCCCAGTGCACAAGGACACCAAAAGCTTTCAGCGTCGTCTGCATCTGAGGGTGTGCGATCGCCAGGTGCCTCAGCCTTGGCAAGCATAGCAGGACAGCAAGCCAGAGGCATGGCTCAGTACATGAGAAGCTGCCCTACCAGATGCCTTCTTCTGCATGGGGGCGGCTGCGTTCTTCGGCCACAGGGCAGTGAAACAAAGCCCGCACCCCGGCCCCTGCCTTCGAGGGGGGGGGGGGAAATAAAATGACAGCAGACCTTTGGATTCTACTGCCAACCTCAGATTTCATCGTCGGTTATTGGTCTGATCTTTTCATAAATGCAGCTGTAATTATGGATGGTTCTCTTGACCCAGACGGGAATGACCGGCAGGGGAGGGTCCTTCAAAACAAGTCTGGATGAATCCTGATGGTGGCTGGTGACAAAAGCAAACCTGCTCAAGGCACACGCCATTCCGGACAGAACGGCGTACACACTGCCTGGCAAGCCTTCGCTTCTAAAGTCAGGCAAAGGTTCCAGCGTTCAACGCAACAGCTATAGATGCAGCCAATTATGGATGGCCCTCTGCAGCCAGCAAGGAACGAGCCTCGCCCTCGCCGGAGTCCGGCTGGCCAAGGAGCCTGGCATGGCTGAAGCGTCCTGCTTGGACCTGCTCTCGAAGTAGGACGAAATGCAAGAGGAGGCCCACGGCAGCTAGCGAGCAAAGGGCGATATTGTGTGGCGTGACGATCTCGTCTGCGAAGTCTGGGCTGAAGTGGGCCTGGTACACCACGGCGATCCAGGCTACTAGAAACGCTGCCAAACGCAGCAGGGCTAGCTGCCGAAGCAGCGATGGAGAGAGGAAGGTGGTGACATTCAGCACGAGGTTGAAGGGCACGTAGATGACGAAGAATGCGAAGCACCTGATCAATCCGGCACAGCGACCCGGCCCTGTCCAGCCAGCTTCGTGGAGCAGAGCGGCTTCTTGGCGGCACAGATGCTTTACGGGCCACATGATAACGGCGGCATTCCCGATCGCATAGCGTCCTGCTGACCAGATCATGACGTCGCACTCATCCTCCAAGCTTGCACTGAAGTCGGCCATGCCTGTCTTCACGAGCGCGGACACGCCGTTCGCCTTCAACTCCAACGCAAAGTCTTGCCCAGCCATGAACACGTGCCCGCCTGCAATGCAAACTTTGTCGCCCTTGTCTGCGTTGTCCGTCGTGACAATCCAATTGCCCTCGAGGCTTTGGGAGGCGCGGAAGTGAAGGATCAAGGCGGAGAGAGCTACGGCAGCTGCGAGGCAAGGGAGACCCCAGGGCCTGGTGGCCGAGGCAAAGAGGACGACGACCAAGGCCGCAAGCACCTCTGAGACGTGGAATGCCAGGATCTTCAAAGATGACATGGGCCGAAGGTGGGCTAACTCCTCGTGCTCGTGGATGGCCTTCTTGTCGAGGTCATGTGCTAAAAGCGACAAGCAGGCGACGGAAAGGCCAACGCTGGCCCATTTCAGGGTGCCCGAGGCTGGGCTGAGCTCTGGCACATCGGCCAGGTTGCCCGCCACAGCTAAGGCGTCGGCAGTTACCAGGAGGCTGAGGACGGACTCCAGGCCCTCGACCATCTTCTGCCTGAGCAAGGTCTCCGTCTTCACGCCCTTGGCGTAACTTTCCACTGCCTCTGCGAGCTGCCCAAAAGTGCCGAATGTGAAAAAGTTCATCATGGAACGTCCTGGGCTTCCTTGCTGCAGAATGGCAGATGCAACACCATTGAAGACAAGCCCGCAGAGGAGGCAAGCCATCCACAAGAAGTATCTCCGTCCCACAAAATCTATGAAGTTCACTACGTCGAGGATCACATCTGCAAGTGGGAGCACAGTATCCTTCAAGAGCCCTAGCACTGTGACTCTGCGGATTGCGGCTGCCTCCAGCAGCGGCTGGCAATCCTCACCCGGCACCTCAGTCAACCCGACCTTCTGGGAGACCCGGTTGGCGGGGAAGTAGGCAAGCGCCGCCGCCGCCGAGCCGAAGACCTCGTCGTGCCGCACACCTGTTAGTAGCAGGGCTTCAACGGCCTCCGCCTCTGCAAGGATGGGCCGTGCAGATGGCAGCTCGGCCAGATGCAGAAGGAACGCCACGGCGCGCGAACGGGTGGCTCTGTCGGTTCGGTCTTGGCGGAGCACCCGACAGACTGCATCGATGGCATCGGAGTTTTGGAGCTTCTGGCGCAGATCCTCCGAGATGCCACCGCCCAGGCTACCCAACGCCCCGCAGCACCAATAAACACTACGTGATCCCTCGACAGCCAGAGCGCGCTGCAGGGCGGCTCCGAGGCCGCCCACGGCACCGGCTCGGAGCAGCTCCTCCTTCACCTCCGGTGGCCTGACGGCCAGGTTGTTGAGGAGGCGGCAGCCCTGCAATTGAAATCCTTCGGAATCCTGCAGCACCTCCAGGCAGGCGAGCACTTTCGGCACGGTCCCGGCAGCCACCACAGCCCGCCCGGCCTCTTCGCGACCCAAGCAATAACAATTCAACAGCTTAGCAATCATCTCAGCAGAAGCGGCCGCTTCGAGCGGATCTCGAGCCTCGGCAAGACCCTGCAGGCGGGCCACTAGAAGTGCCACGATAGCAGCATCTTCATCCCGAAGCAAAGCCTCGCTGGCGATGTGGCTGTTGCTCAGGCTTGCACTGCCATACATCCAGAAAAGGACTCCCACGGCCGCGTCGAAGAGACGATGGTCAGCCGAATGACTTCTTATGGCCGCTCGCACGGGCGCGATGAGCTCGTGCTCCATCAAAATATCTTCACAGTCCAGAAAGATGAGGGCGAGCGCAGCTCGGCAGGCCTCGAGCTGCAAGGCCCCATCTTCCGGGTGGGCTTGCATGGCGGCGACGATGGCGGCCGCTGCCAGGTGCGGGTCCGCCGAGGAGCCTCCCCGCCCCCGTATCGCCTTTAGGCCTCTCAGCTGCAGTGCAGCGTCTGCGGGCCGCTCCGCCATCTTTCGTAGAAGCTCGTCCATCGTCTTCTCAACCTTTGAGCCCTCCTCCCTTTCCGAGCCCTCCTCTTTCGACGAGATCGTCTCTGCTTTGAAGCCTTCCTTTGCCTCGGATCCCGAAGCATCTTGCTTGTCCTCCGTGTTCCCTCCCGTCGGAGGCCGCAATGAAGGTGCCACGGCAACCGCCGAGAGGCAGCACAGCACTCGGCCCGGCATGGCAGCTCCCGAATAGGATCTCACATATCCCTTTCAAGCTTGAGAGGGAAGATCTTGCCTGCAAGTGAGACCCTTCAAAGTCGGCCATGATCTGCCATGGTGGAAAGCCTCTCGACACATCTGCACAAGGACGCTCCGAGCTCTTGCATGAACACTTTGCGCCTGAAGCCTTTGCCCGCTGGAAACCTCAAACCTCGAACCCGCCCTGCACACTGAAACCTGGCTCAGGCTCCGGGGAAGCGACCACTGCGTCAGGGATGGCGTGACAAACATCACGCGGGAGACGACTACCTGCGAGCACTCGCAGAACTTCGGGCTCAAGCCGTTGATGCGAGTTCATAGGGTTCTGCTTGAACGGCCTCACAGGACAAGCAGCTCCTGGGATAGATGTGACTGTAGTGTTCTGAAGTGTTCTGTTCAGCACTTACTTCCTGGCTCAACTTCCCAAGGACTGAGGCTGATGGGGCCGCGCTTGACCGCTCGGTAGGAACCCAAATTGGCTGTTAGCGGTCGCTTGTTTCGAAGTCATGGTTGTTGCCTTGCGCGGCTCCGGCTCAGAATCCAAACGGTCCATGCAAACCAAGAGCGCTCTATCATTCACAGCGGAATCATGCAAGGCCCTGGATGCTTCGAGATTACGCCGAGGAGGGGAAGGAAGAGGTGAAGGCAGGCATGGCTATCACCCAGGCCATGGTGACGGCGATGGTCACTGTGCCGGCGGTGATGTCGTGACGATGATAATGATCATGATGACACAATCATGAATAATGTCCACACGTATTGCTCCTGAGGAACAGAACAGAGCGTCCCATCACGACTATGACGAGCTGTGGCGCAGCTGCTATTGCCAAACGGAAGAAGATCCTGGACCGCTGTAAAACCAGCATGGATGTTGCCGAAAACGGGAAAGCTGATCCCTTTAAGCTCCCGAAACATAAACCTGAAGTCCAGATCATCCAACGCCGAAGGCTTCCAGAACAGCCCGACTTGAACCAGCTCTTCAGGGGCCTCGATTCCGCGAGCCTGCTTGTCAAAGAAAGGGTCGGCGGCATTCGCCCCTGGGGTGCTACAGTTCACCGGCCTGGGACCACTGGGTGGGCAAGAGCTTATAAGTTGTAGAGTTTGGATTCTGGGGCTCGCGCCCGGATTAAGGCGATCAAGATCCACCTTAGGATGCTCGAGCGAGGAGGACCTGAACCCTCGGCCGAAGTGACTACCTGGAAAAGTTGGATGCACCGTCGTCAAACTTGAAGCCCCTAGCCTGTGGACAATGCCGAAATCCATCCGAGGTGCTGATCGCTTTCTGAGGTCCCCACAGATGATTCCGGCTGATGAAGGTCTGTAACCGCAGCTCTGATGCAAAGCCTCGAAGTCCGGGGCGGGGACCAATGAGTAGAAAAGGAACTTTTGACGGACGGATCAGAACGGCAGGTGTTGAGCTGAAGTGAATACCTGGTCCCAGCTCCTTAACGCTTGGCGATCCATCAAGGGGTGATAGTTGGAAGAACGTCCGGTTCAAAAGTGAAACCATCAGAGCCACGAGTGAATTACTGCAGGGCCCCGCTCCTTGCCTCGGACCTTTCCCATGGCAATGAGCAGCTTTCGTTCTTCACAAGGATAGACGAGTGGAAAAAGACCTCAAGCCTCACACCCAGAAAGCCAAATTCTGAAGCCACCATCACCCACGACCTTTCCCTGCAACACCGGGTAGCCTCAGGTTGTATGTCCCACGAAAGGCGAGGCCCACGCAATCCATGCCGCGGCTGCACTCCTCCAGGGGAAAGCCCTCGCCGACCTCGGTGAGAGTAGAAATGAAGTGCCAATGCTAAGGGTCCTGGGTTTCGTGCTTCTAGAGTCTAGAGAGTTTTGAGTGTAACCAACCGGGTTCAGAAGCCTTCGCCCCATTCCCCAAGCTGCAAAGTCCGAAGTTGAAGAGCCCACCAGACTGCAACTCGACAGTCTGGCACCTCTCAGCCTTAACCAACCCCCAAACACCGCAAAGACAGAACCGGGTCTCTTGGGCCGTGGCGTGTGTCGTCGTCTGAAACACGCAAGACTCCCAGAGGTAGGGGAGGACTACAATCACCGTGAGCTGGGTGATCCTGTCATGCGACGACAAGACTACACCAGAAGAAAGAAAGCTCACACAGTGGGGCAAACTTTCGATGTCAAGCCCATGACGACCTTCATGCAGGCACTCAGGTTTTGTCTCTCTCAGGCTTCTGCAGAGTTTATTTTTAGGCTTCACATTTCGGGCTTCGGGCACAAGGCCTCGGATCATCCAAGCTATGCTCGAAGCAAGAGGCAAAGCAGCCGGAAAAACGACAGCCAGGAGGCAACCCCTTCTGCGGACTGAGCAATAAGCATGTCCAAGCCCGAAGCAGTGCCCAACTGTTGAAAGGAAGGCATTCAACATAGGAGCCCATTGAGGGCCGAGTGTTTCGAGCTTCAGGTTTAAGGTTCAGGGTTGGAAGCTGTCGCCACCCGAAGCCGCACAGCCGAAGTTGCAGTAACCCGTAAGACCGTACCAAAAGCCTAAACCCTAAACCCTAAACCCCTAAACCCTAAACAGCGTCGGAGGGGCATCATGGCTTCCATCCAAGCGCTTTGCCATCGGACCTCAGGTCCACTGGGCTCGTGATAAGCGGGGTTAAGAGCACCCTGGCAGCTCTAGTGTCCGAAGGCTCACGAAGTCACTTCAGACTGCACACAAAGAGAAAGCCGTCACAGGCCTTTTGCTTCCATGGCACGTGCCGTTCTTGAACTCAAGCCCTCCCTCTGAGAGCCGGTCACAGCAACACAGAACTTGGATCTGCACAACAGTGGAATCCACGCGTCCACTGGTTTCCTAAGTCCTGGCAGGTCTTCACACAGGGAGAAAGGAAGAAACGAAAAAAGGAAGCTGTGCACTGGCTCGCTTTGCTCGCCACCTGGCCCCTATCCCAGTCTTCGTTCGCAGTCTCTGCAAAGTGTCTTTGAAACGGGCCGGGCTCCTCGCAGGTGTCCACAGTTCTCGTCTGGGTGGAAGCACTGACCCTTCGGTGTGAGCCACACGCGCTGGGGCACACCTGGTTGAGGGCGGTGTCGAAGAGCATCTCGTTCGTGTCGGCAGTCCTCGAGTTGTCGCCACAAGCCGGTGTTCTCGGCCTTGAGCTGTGCTGTGTACTCTCTGTACTCGTCGAGCTCGTTCTGGTACTGCCTCGTCATGGCGTTGAGGTGGTAGAGCTTGGTGTCTTGGTCGCGGCCTGTCGTCTGGGTCGTGGCGTCGGCGGTCGTCCTCACGGGTCTGGTCCTCGCAGTAGTCGCCGCGGTCACGTAGCTCACGATCTTGTACAGGACATAGGCCAGCATGAAGGTAAACTGCAGGAAGAGGAGGCCGAGGAACAGGTCGGTGTAGTAGGTCGCGTGGTTGCCGTTGTCCAGGGTCTTGCCGTCCACGCCGTTGGCGGCCTGCGCGAGGAGCACCATTGAGATGTGCTGTGCAATGCGGGACCCATATTGTCCACCAGATGCTCGCTGTGCTCGCTCTCGCTCCTCCTTCGTCTTCTTCTTTGCGGCCACAAAGTCCTTGTCAAAGACCAGGCTGAGCCTCCCCGACATCATGGTGTCGGCAAGCTCCTGTCGCGACCCAACCTTCGTGAGTCCATCCGCCAGCATCCGCTCGCTCGAAGCCCACCGCAACGTGGTACCGAGCCTCTTCAGCTCGTCCTGCACGCAGAGGATCTCGATGGCGGTCCGCTTGTCTTGTGCACTCGTAAAGCCTGGCTTCTTGAGGGCGTCGTAGAGGGCCTTGGCGTCGATCACGGCGACAGAGCTCCCTGGCCATTGTGCAGTCTCTGGGGCTCTTGGGTCCTGGTGGGGGTCCATCATCAACGAAACCATCGACTTGACCATCACCAGCTCGTCGAGTGCCGTCGCAACCCCTGCGCTTCTGCTGCAAGGCTGCTGCGGCACACCCTTTGAAGCTTGTGGGACCTCCAGCTCAGAACAGAGTAAGGCACAGTTTCTCCACTGAGCACCTTCTTAGAGGTCATCACCACAAGGAGGCCGCCTTGGGATGACCCATCGGGCCTCACAGCGAAGGCGGCGTCGCTGAACACCACTAGGCACAAGTCGTTGAGGTCGCCAAACACCTTGCCCATGGTGATACGGTAGCTGTGCTGGGCCTTCGCAAACCTGAGGGTCTTGTTGAGCTCGTTCACGAGGTTGGTGTCGGCTTGGTTTATGCTTGCAGCCTGGATGCTCAGGGAAGCGCTCAGTGCGGGGAGTCCTTGGCCGGCTGGCCATTGAAGAGCACCAATCAGTCCACGAAGCTTGCCCACATCTCTCGCTTGCAGGGATTTCTTCTCTTTGGCGCGGGGAACAGTCACCGGAGCGACCTTCTTGAGGTAGTCGGCGTACCCCAAGTGGATGCCAGCTGCATCCCGTTCCAGCTTGCCGCCACAGTAGAGGATGGGGCCCTTGTCGTGCAGCTCCTGCCATTTGCCAAAGTCGAAGATCTTCTTCAGGGTGGCGATGGCGGCCTTGAACTCGGTGTTCTGGCCATCCCCGGCAACAAGGAGGTCGTCGACGTGCAGCACCAGCGCTGCGGTCAGCACTCTGTCCTTGGTGAACAGCAGGTAGAAGCACCTGTCCAACGGGTGCCTTTCCCAGCCTCCTCTGCGCAGTCGCCTGTCTGCTTCTCTCCACCACAGGCGAGGTGCGTCGGCCAACACGTAGGCTGACTTGAGCATCCGCATGTATGTCGGCTGTGGACCAGCTCCCAAAAGCGGGCCGCAGTCGGCCGGCAGCTTCACCACGATCTTCCTGTTGAACTCTGCCCCTGACAGAAAGGCTGTTCTGACGTCACCGCAGAACACCACCCATTGCCAGTTCCCTGTTCATCAGGTCGGGGTCCTCGAAGCCACGAAGCACAAGGCGTGCTTTTGCTTTGGGAGGCCCTCCGTTTTCGGGCTCCTTCCACGAAAGCACCCATCGGGCTGAGACGGTTCTGCCAGCCCTATTTTCGCCATCTTCAGCAAACTGCCACACCTGGTTGCTGAAATAAGATTCCAGCTCAGTTCTTTTGGCCTGAACTATAGCCGCCCTTTGCTCCACGTTCATGTGCTTCTCCTTCGCCTCGACTCTTGCCAGCCAGGCCTCATCAATAGCAACTTCGCCATCAACCACGGCCCAGCCTTCAGGGAAGTCGTTGTCGGCTGTATCCACCACATAGGCATCCACATAGAGCTCCTCATCATCCTCCGGCACGGGTGTGTCCTCGGGTCGCGCGCTGGCAGCCGCGGTCGCCGGGGAAGAAGAGGAAGCAGCACCGGGCGGGTGGGTGGGATCGGGCCGAACATGGTGAGGAGCACAGGGTGGGCGGGCGGGATCCAGTCGCGCACGCTTGTCGGGCGGGACATCGGCATCAAGCTGCTCCGGCTCGGGCTCAGCGGTGCTGATGCGCCGGGTGACGGGACGTTGCCGTGAGAGCACGTCCTGGAAGGCCAACTCAACAACTCCAGGCAGAGGTGGTAGAGGTCGTTCGGTCTCCTCGTCGGCGTCGCCGGGGTGGCTGTTGTCGTCAGGCAGGCTGAGCTCGTAGTCAGAGAGGTGCTCGTCGACGTTGTCCTCCAGGATAGGCTCACTGGCGGTGATGTCCTTGAACTGGGTTGTGCTCCGGGCCTTGAGTTCTTGTAGGGCTTCCATGGCAGCACCGGGGTCGGACACAACGTTGTAGCCAGTGTCCTCGATGACGGGCCGCACCTGGTGAGGGGCACATCGCAGAAGAGAGGTGCCGTGGGCCAGCCAGATGACCCGCTCCTTGCCGCCATCGTCGGTCTCGACAGCAACAACCCGAGCTGGTCCCCGCCAGCGGTTTTTTTGAAGAATGCCAGCTCCTTGTATGCGCCAGAAGAAAACCTTCTGGCCCACCTTTGGCATCGCCTGGTCGCCCTCGCGGTAGTTCCGATTCATAGCGCGCCTCAGTCTCAGGTCGGTGTCGGCTTTCAGGAAGGCGATCTGGGCGGCAGTCCTGCGGCGCTGGTTTGCGGCAAAGGCTCCGGCGTCATCTTCAGCATCCGGGGCGGCTGGGTTGAAGATCTCGTTGGTGAGGCTGAAGCTGTTTGCTGGAGTTTTGCCAAGCACCCATTGGGCCGGGGAGAAGCCCTTCACCGAACTCAGCAGGTTGATCTGGCCCGGCACAAAGATGGCAGCTTCACGCAGTCCTGTCCTTGTGCGGTCTTGGCGGTCCTCCATGTACAGCTCCAGGCTTCTTCGCACCACTTGGTGCCGACGTTCAACAGCTCCAAGCCAGCTGTGTGCCTCGGCTGGAGCAATTTCAAGCTCAACGCCGTGGTCCGAGCACCATTCCCGGATCAAGGTGGCGCTCCAGCCCTTAGCCTCATCGATCCTGATAATTTTGGGCACCCCAAAGTGCTTGATCCAGGCACGCTCGAGCCCCTTTAGAGGCTCCTTGCTCTGCTCACTCGCCAGGACCCTGATGGTCACGAATCGGGTGGCCTGGCACATGATGGTGAGCACACACATGCGACCATCATCGGTGTCTATCCAGGCCGAGTCGAGCATGAGCCGCTCGTTGAATTCCCGCCCTTCAATGCCACTCGCTGGTGGCACTCCAGCAGGCTTCTTTCTCTTCAGACACGCAGCACACAGGTAGTTCTTAGCACAGGTGATCACGTTCTCGGTCGCCTGCACTTCCTCCAGCATCCTCGCCAGCACGGTTGGGCTCGGGTGTCCGAGGTTCTTGTGGAGGCGGGCAACGTAACCGAAGGCTTGTCTGCCCACTTGCTGCTTCAAGCTCTGGTTGGCCTTGGTCACCTCGGGCTCCTCCTGTGCTTCCTGGCCGGTGGCCTGCTCCATCTCGACATCGGCCGCCTCGATGCCCTCGTCAATAGGGAGGGCATCCTCTACGACACCATCCTGCACGATGAGCTCGGCGAACTTCTTGGCCATGAGGTCCGGGGGCTCGTTGTCCTCATGTTGGGCGTGTCCCTGCTCTCGTCCGTGGTCGTGGCTGCCGTCACACTCGCAATGAAGTCCTTCATGCACGCTCCTCTTGGTAGTAAGTATGCACGTAGACTTCTTCAGTGGGCAGCCACCATCTCTTGTGAGGGCGCCATACATGCACTGGTCCACGTAGGTAGGCATCCCGGGCAGCCGGTGGAATGCCTTCGTCTTCCAGGCTCTGCTGGTCCATGGGTGCTCCAGGTGGGCGTGTCGTCCTCCACGTCGCTGCACCTCAAAGACCAGGGCACAGAAGACCAGGATCTCGTCATGGTCCTGCTGTCTCTGTCGGCAGAGCTGGGCCCAGCCACCAGGGGCAATGGCTAGCTGCTTTTCCAGCGTTGGGCTCCACAAGCGCGAGTGGGGAGTGATCACCACCTCGTCGGGCTCCTCGTGGCGAAGCCTCCTCAGAAACTTCTTTCGGTCCTTGGCCCGGCGAAGGTTCCACCCTTCCTTGGTGGAGAAACGCTCAGTCACTGCGCCTTGGCACTTCAGACTGGCAGTCAGCTTGCCCTTCCCTGCAAAGACTTCCCACACCAGCTTGTCGTCAGCTGAGGAAACGTGGGCGGCCCTGTCCATTGCACTCTTCAGCTCCTTCTTCTCCTTGGCCGCGCTGGCAATGAAGCCGTGGAGCTTCCCTTTTGGGAGGTTCTTCACCATGGCCTTGTCGCTCAGGGGCACCTGCTTTGCATTAACAACCTCTTCCAGGGTCCACATAGGCGATGGAGAAGATGCTGTTGCCGTGGCGCTTTCAGGTATCGTTCTGGGGTTCTCGTCGAAGGCAATTGGCTGCTGTCTTGCCTCGTCCCCGTGGTCCTTCTGATCGATCTCGTGCTCGTTCTGCTTGCGTCACGGTGGCTGTGGTCCTTCTCGTTGCTCTGGTCGTTGCGGCTGTGGTCCTTCTCGTTGCTCTGGTCGTTGTGGCTGTGGTCCTTCTCGTTGCTCTGGTCGTTGCGGCTGTGGTCCTTCTCGTTGCTCTGGTCGTTGCGGCTGTGTGTGGTCCTTCTCGTTGCTCTGGTCGTCGAGGCTGTGGTCCTTCTCGAGCGTCGTGTGGTACACCTCGTTGGGGCAGGCCGTCTTCCCGAGGATCGCCTGGTAGCCAAGGTTCTTGCTGAAGACGACGTGTGTCTCGAAGTCGGTGGGGGCCAGGATCTCCTCAAAGTCCTGGGTCTCGTCCAAGAGGGTCGCCATGTCCTCGGCAAGCACCAGTTGGTGTTCTCCACGGTCGCCTCGGGATATTGGCTGCCACGGTCCGCCGGGCCACTTCATTTTCCCGGTCTTGTAGTCGATGGTCAGCTCGAGCTTTTCCAGAACAGGCCTGCCGAAGAGGATGGGGCAAGAGCCACCGATGATGTAGGTGAGCACCTGTCGCTTCTTTGCTCCGATCACAACCGGCAGCATGACACACAGACCTGCAGCCTCAGTGGCAGAGTTGCCGTAGCGGAAGGACTTCTTGCACGCGTAGACCTCGAGGGTGTCCAAGGGGAAGCCGTTCTCGAGCAGGTGTCGGAGGTAGCGCTTCACGTACAGGAGGCTCCCTAGGACAGAGGCTGCGCCTCCATCCTGAACTGCTCTGTTGCACGTCTGGTTGTCATCGTCCTCGTCGTTGTCCAGGGCATACACCGGGGTCATGGCATAGGTCCTGCTGTGGCTGTCCATGCCATCGGTGGGGTCGGCGTCCATCACCATCATCACCTCGTGCGTGTCTAGGCGGCGCTTCTTTTCTCCAGCCGGGCAGTCGCGTGCCCAGTGGCCCGCCTGGCCACATCGCAGGCACACCTGTCTCCCGACCGCCGCCTTTCCACGAGCGCCGGCCTTGCTTCCACCTCCTTTGGCTGGCATTTGCTTCGGCCCTTCTTCCCGGGCCTCTTTCCACCTCCTTTCTTGCCGGGGCTCTTGCCTCGGCCAGCTGGTGACGTAGGGGAAGCCGGGCGATCCACCAAGGCGACGACTGGGTAAAAGCCACGGGCCGTCCTCATCCGGTTCATGCGGTTCTTTGCGTCGACATAGGCGGCGTAGATCTCGTCGTACTCCTCGACATCCCAGGCCTCCTCGCAGTCGTCCTCCGACGCCTCGTCCTCGTAGTAGGCCTGGTCTGCGTCGAGCCAAGGAGGCTCCTCTCCAACGTCCTGGTAGTAGGTGGCGTCTACGTCCGGCCAGTCCTCGCCATCAAGCTCGTCCTGGTAGTGGGCGTGGTCCACCTTCTTGTTCCACTTGTCGCCTCTGCCCTCTAGCCTGGAGTCCTGTCCCAGAATAAAGTTCATTGCTTTGCTCACGGCCTCCAGGTTGAGGTTCTCGGCGCCAACGTTCGTGAGGATGAGCTGTCTCTGCTCCTTGCTCACGCCGCTCCTCCTCAGGAAGAACCAGGCACGGATCTTCTCGGGGAGGGTCACGCCGTGGGTCGTCGTCAGCCGCCGCTCTGCACGCAAGTACTCCGCACTCCACTCCTGCAAGGTCTGGTTGCTTCGCCGCTGCAGCTTGATGAAGTAGGCCTCAAAGTCATCGGGAAGCTCGGTCAAGGGGTCATATCAATATCGAAAACCCTTGTCAAGCCTCTCAAATATCTTGTCAAAGCTCTCGTCCTTCTCCATCTCTGCAACAGGGAGGTCTTCAACAAGGTCCCAAGCCTTGCCACTCATCATCGTCACCAGGTTGAAGACGGTCTCCTTCTGGCGCCCAGCCAGCCTCATCTTGACCCGGTAGATCTCAGCTCGCTTCTTGAACTCTTTGTATTCTCTCTGCTGGTTGCTGAACACAGGCACATAGTTATCGGCCTTGCCAGTGTTGGCGGGGCTCGCTCCAGAGGTCCCTGAAGATTCAGTCGCCATCTTGCCTAAGCAGTAGCGTCACGGATCTTTCCTGATAGCGCGGTAGGCTCCGCTACCAGGGTTAAGAGCACCCTGGCAGCTCTAGTGTCCGAAGGCTCACGAAGTCACTTCAGACTGCACACAAAGAGAAAGCCGTCACAGGCCTTTTGCTTCCATGGCACGTGCCGTTCTTGAACTCAAGCCCTCCCTCTGAGAGCCGGTCACAGCAACACAGAACTTGGATCTGCACAACAGTGGAATCCACGCGTCCACTGGTTTCCTAAGTCCTGGCAGGTCTTCACAAGCGGTTTAAGCTAAGTTATCGTAATAGGGAATCTTCAGTAAATAATACGGTTTCTGTATTATGGTAACTTAAACTAATCATAATGGGGATCTCTAGACAATCATGTGGTTACTTTACTATGGTAAACCAGCTTAGGTTCACGGCTCGGGCCTTCGGGGCGGAGCTGTGTATTTTGTTGCTATGGTGGTGGCATTGGGTTTAGGGTTTAGGGTGTTTAGGGTTTAGGGTTAGGGTGGTGGCATTCCGGTGGTGACGTGATGTTCCGGAACTGAACCCGAAGCCCTCAACAGCAAAACCCTGAACAACGCATATTGTAGTATACGTCGAGCATCTTGTCTACTTTATAGTACTTTATAGTATCCTATGGTCTCTTATACGCACAATAAAGCCCTAGGCACGCAATCACGGCAACGTAAGCCCGGGCCCGGGCCGAGGGCTTCAGACCCGGACCCAGGGACTCTCAGCGAGGCACACTTCGTTGACTTCGATGTCGAAGAAGTATAGCTGCATCTCACGGATGGCAAACCTCAAGAGCTCGAAGTTGAGAGTCTTGATAGTTGGGGCCCTCTTCTCAGAATAATGCTGGTGACCCTTCTCTCACTGATCTTCTGGTCCTTAACATCGTATGGTCATTACTCTCATCACTAACACCGCAGGCCGCCCAAGAACCTGTTTCGCTTGAGGAGCCCATCTCTCAAAAAGATCTCGTCGTTGTGGCTGTCTCATATACTAACTGTATATATACAAATGTGTATGATATGTATGTATATATATAT